AGGAACAATTAGAGATAAACGAATGAAGAAATACCCATTATTGCCCATTAAAGGATTTAAAAAAGTAAGGCAGAGGAGCCTATGATTTTCGAGTTGAGCAAGAATCAAATGGTTGCAGTTCGTTGTAGTTGTATACACATGTGGTTGCAGTTCGCTGGTATGATAACAAACCAGTAAATTTAGTTACTTCATATGTAAGCATTGAACCACTTCACACTGTTCGTTCATATGATCGTTCGTTAAAAAAAAAGATTGATGTAAAACAGCCCAATATTGTTCATGTATATAACCAATACATGGGGGGCATAGATAAGTTAGATATGATGTGTGCGTTATACAAGCCAAGATTAAGAACACGAAGATGGTACATTTATATTTGGTTTCATACGATTCAAATTGCTGTTGTTAATGCATGGTTTTTGTACCGACGCGATTTAAAGATTTGTAGACCCGATACTAAATTTATGCAATTGCAATGCTTTATTGCAGAAGTTGCAGAGAGTCTGATCAAAGTAACATCATCTCGTGGGAGACCATCTTTAGATAATATTACACAACCTCCTAAAAAATTTGCTCGGGTTCAAGGAAATCCTTCCAATGATGTAAGAAAGGATGGTTTTGATCATATGCCAAGTTACAATGAAAAAAGACAGAGGTGTTTGTTCTGTAAGTCAGGACTTTCATATATAAGTTGTAAAAAGTGTAATGCATGGCTTTGTTTTAAGAAAGAAAAAAACTTTTTTGAAGTTTTTCATTCATAATCTTATATGAATGTGCTAATATTTTTAGCTTATATGTACTATGTAGTATGTTTAATATAAATATTTTGATAAATAATTACCCGTTGTATCATATCTGATACAACTCAAAAAAGTGCCATCATTTTTTTGTCTCAAATTTTTGTCAGCAATCAACTTATGCCATAAGGGTTACTTGTATTTGCAATAAGATTTTTTTAAGTCTTTTAAACTGTTTTGGGTATTTAAGGGTTAAACAACAAAATAACGATTTTTACATGTACCAAAAAAATGTTCAAGTGGTATATTCCAGTTATATTGCGACGGTAAAGTACCATTCATTTTTGTTTACTACAAATTACATTTGAAGAAAAATCAAAACAATTTTGTTTTTCAACTTTTCAAATAATTTTCAATATTTGATATTTCAATCTTGTAGTAATTATTTAATATTTTAAACGAATATTTATAGTTAAAAACGACATTAGGACAAAAAATATAAAAAAAAAAAAAATGCAGAAGAATTTATGAGAACTTATAAACGTAAACCAGGTAATCGATTCTATGAATTGTATCCAGCAGAAGCCATTCAAAATGCCTTGTTAGATATCTCAACTAACAGAATATCAATTTTTAAGGCATCCAAGTTATCTGGTACTCTGCACAACAAGAGTAAACTAAGATATATGAAAAGCTTTGGAGGGCAGACCAGATAACGGCCCCAATACCGAAAAAAAGATTCTACAAATTATTAGCATCCTGACAGATTGGAAGTTACCATTGGATAAGTTACCATTTGATATATGTATATACCATTTGATGATTGGAAGTTACCATTGGATATATGTCTGCTAGTAAATTGCTATCTAGACAGAATGGGCGTTACTGATTTAAAATTTAAAAATAACTTGCCTGCCCTTATTGGATAAAATCCTTTCTTATTCGCAATAATCTGCTGCTGACAAAGTAAAACCAGCAAGAACTGAAATTGTTCAAAAAGTCAAAATGTCTATTAGGGTGTCCCAAAATTTTAACAATAAGAATAAAAAATTGTACACATTAAATTCTTTGTCTATACATATGTAAAAGACCGCTAATATTGAAAAAAAGATTTATAAGATCATTCCAAATTAAAAAAACGGATTTTATTAAATGTTCTGAGATATTCTTAACTTAAATATTTCTGCTGCATCCCAATGAAAACTTATTATTTTAAAAATTCTATTAGCTGTTGTTTTTCATATTTTAAAAAACATTTATAATCTTTTTTTTTTTTTAAATTGTTAGCTTTGTATTAGATATGGGTGGTAACAGATCAACTAGTAGTATATTAAAGAACTTTTCTTGATCACTGTTCCAAAATATTAGAGAAATGTATATTTAAAATTATATAAAACAATATATATTGATGTGTTTTTAAAACATGAATTATTTGGGTACTAATTGCAGTTTATTTTTTTGGACTAACAGCTATTTTTAAGTTATTGATTTTTGAATATACCAACTTTTTCTTATTTAAAATATCGACTTTTAAATATATCATCTTTGAAAGCAGCAATCTTGATTACCTTTTTAGAAAAGGTAAACAAACTTAAACTTATCATTTTTTTCTGATAAAAAAACAACTGTTGCTTTCTCAGGTCTCTGTTTTTCCTCAACATCAACTTCCAACAAATGAAATAGTTCTATGATAATATTAGTATGTTATTACAGATAAAAGTAAAAGGTTCAAGTCTATTCAAGAAATTTTTTTCATGCAAAACAAAGAGTAGGAATAGGAATATGGTTTACCTTGACAAAGACTTCTGTTATGAAAATATGAAGATATGCTGTCTAAGAAAAAATGTTAATATGTGGAAATATAATGCCTTTGGAAACTATATAATTTCTGAAGTACACATTGTGCAAAAGTTTATTAAATAAATAAATTGTACATTTCAATGCAAAATACAAGTTATTTAGCCTGGAACACAGTTGCCATATAAAAAAACACAAGAATCAGTTTGAAGAAATTTTTGAAATTTTTTTTGATATTTCTTAAAAAAATATAGAAGCAAAAACAAAATCAGATAAAGATATGCCTTGATCGAATGCTGCAGTGATAAAAGATTTGACATTTCTTTAAGATTAGAGAACATTGAGGAGATGAAATCTTATAAAGAAAAATGCAGAGTTATTGAAGGTTTTAAATTGGACTGCACAATGATTTAGAAATGGATGAAGTGATCTCTTATGACTTAAATAAATCTGAGGCATCAAATAAACTATATATTATTCTTTAATTCAAAAATTTTCAAATTATTATTTTTAATAATAAAAATGAAGTCAATGCAAGGTTTTCCTCATGAACATACGTGTTTTTGCAGCGTTAAAAATTTAAAGAAAAAACTGTTTAATCTTTAACTTTTTAGAATTAGTGCAGCAGATTTGCATTAAAAATGACTGGAAGTGGACACAAATGGATAAAATCATAAAATGTTTACTAATAACTCAGAAAACTATGCTTATCATTTTAAGATATGAAGGCAAAGTGTAGTATGACCAAAACTGGCTTAAATCTAAGATGACATTTACCGCCATCTTGGATTTATAAAAACAATAGTAAATATTAAACCGTTAAACTAATCTTTTAACTAATCTTTACTAAAACCTTGGTAAGGTAGAAAAAAGCAAGCATACATTGATCACAGATTCGCCAATGAGGAGTGGTAATGTTAGGGCACAGCCCTCTTCCCCCAAAAAAGCCCCTGCCTTCCTCCCATACTAAGAATAACATTTTTTTAAAAATTTTAATTATCTATATCTACTTTTTTTAGTATACACTCACATTCTTGCAAAAAAAATGAAGTACATATTGAAAAAAGGTGTCTAAATAGAAGGTCCTTCAAATGGCTTCTTCAAAAATCTTAATAAGTATAATTATATATATATATATATATATATATATATATATATATATATATATATATATATATATATATATATATATATATATATATATATATATATATATATATATATATATATATATATATATATATATATATATGTATATATATATATATATATAATTTATATACATATATATATATATGTATATAAATTATATATATATATATATATATATATATTATATATATATATATATATATATATATATATATATATATATATATATATACATATATATATATATATATAATGTATATATGTATATATGTATATATATATAAATATAAATATATTTATATTTATACTTTTTTATATATAAACGTATATTTTTTATATTCGTTTTTTTCAAAATATATAAAAACTTTAATAAAAATGTATAACATGTTTGGTATCGTTGGAAAGCTTTTTTTAACTTCTATCATAATCTAGTAAAAGTAATGCGATTCAAATAAACTGGCAAGTGCAGTTCTCTTTAGAAAAGATAAAAACTTAAACACAAAATACCATGGGGTTTGGCTATAAATGAGTCTTTGAAATCAATTTTTTTCGTAAAAGCACGTATCAGTGTTTATTTTCACCTAATGTGACGTGACATTTACGATCAGACTCTTTTTTGAGGTAATTATGTATGAAAAACTGTTTTTTTTTAAAATTTGAAATTTTTATTTTTAATACCACACCTTAGTGAGTAGTTTTAACAAGAATGTCACGTTAGATTTAGATACATCATGGTATTGCAGTTCTTTATACAGAAGTCGTTTTTACTTAAATTAATACAACTTTTAGCCCCATTCAAAAAACTGTTGTCGGTATTTGCTATCATATTTTGAAATACTTGGACTTATTTGGCCATCTTAAGAAATAATTTATTCCTTTATTGTGGTAAACTTTAAAAACATTATTCTAGCTAGTTTCGTTTTCAAAACAGCAGAAAACTCTGATCATTTTTGTAATTGATTTAAAAAAGTAGTTATATGTACTGACTGTAAAGTGTTATTTGTTAAAAAAAGATTTTAATCTCTTTTAATTTTATTATAGATCATTACTATGTCTATAATAGATCCATTACCAAGTGGTTACATTAAAGTAATCGTATATAATCTGCTTATGTCAAAGTTTTCACTACACCAAAGAATTGATCATTATAATTCAATATTCGGCTGTCAAAAAAATAAATTTGCTGTCTCTCATGACATCCAACGTCGAAATTTTCCTAAAATTAAAGCAAAAATATGCTATCTGTCTAAAGGACATAGTGCAAAAAAAAAAAAAGAAATTGATCAACACATTCTCTTTAAACGCATGGAATAAACTTAGGTCTAAAGAAAAAAGTCTACACAGGTTCTCCAACTGCCAAAAATATGTTAAACTTTATAGAGATATATTGTCTATAGGGATTGCAATCCCGGGATCCCGGAAGTTTTTGGATCCCGAAAATCCCGGGATTCTAAACACAAAATCCCGGGATTTTCAGGATTATAGCAGGATTGAACTAATTAAATTATTTTGTAAAACAAAATGTTCAAAGTTGGTAACTATACTGAATTATAACGAGTTATATAATGCTGCTTTGCAGGTTTATCCTGTTTATGCTTTATCCTTACGATAAATGGAACAAATTTTTGAATAGACCATGGAGTTCGGGATTTTATCATTGAAAAAAGTTTCAAAAACACAAATTAAGGCAGGTTTGTTTGACTATTGTATAAAAAACAATCGTTAAGTTTGTTGGCAAGACTTCTCGCGTTAAAAAGATAAATTTTAAAATTGTTGAGCGAATTTGTGGTTAAGTGATTGCTTGAGTTTATTAAGTCGTTTTGTTCATTTCAAAAAATAATTTTAGAGAATGAAAAAAATAAAAATGAACAAGTAATAAAAAAAAAATTATAACTTAAAAAATTTAATGATTACTACATAACAATTCCCTTTGGGATATTTCTAGCGATTTGTATAATTATATTTGTACAATTATTAGTTATTGCAACATTATAATGCCCTTGACAATTAATTCCGCTTGAAGGGATTCTAGTGTGAATACATACAAAATTTGACTGTGGAATGAATCGTTTTGAACGTTTTGAACTGATAACCTTTTTAATGCTTTTGTTGTTTACCGCAATAATATGTTGTTTACTAATGCACCTTAAAAAAATATCCTTCTAAACATGAATGAAAACAGTGAAAAGGGAACATTATTTTTTCTACACAAAAAAGATAAAGACCCAACTTCAGTGTGGTCACATTATTTGAAGTCTACGAATAATTTGGCAGCAAAATGTAAGAAATGTGGTGTAATTTTGAAAACATTGGGTGGTTCTACAAAAGGCCTTCATACGCATTATCAACTTCATACGCATTATCAACTAAGCATAATTTGAAAGTAACTTCAGCCGACAAAAATTTACCTAGTTCGAGTCAACAGTTGAATGATGCCAGAACCGACGAAAAGCCTCCTACGAAACGAAGAATAACGAGTTACTTTGCATCTGGAAAAAAAAAACCTCAGACGAAACACTGGCTCGAATGACAGCTTTAGATGGGCTAACATTTAATGTATTTATAACATCAAAAGATTTAAGGCAATTACTGATTACCAGTGGTTTCGAAAATTTGCCCAAGTCAGCAAACTCAATTAAAAGGATAGTGGTAAGTTACAGCTTAAATATTAGACAGTTAATTTCCAAAGAAATTTATCAATATAAAGCTTTGGGAACACGATTTTCTCTGAGCTTTGATGAATGGACCTCTACAACAAATAAAAGATACATGAATATTAATGTACATATCCCAAATAAGCACTGGAATTTGGGTCTTATTCGTGTATATGGTTCTATGAATGCTGAGAAATGTATTGATGTTTTAAAAACACGTCTAAAGGAGCATAATGTTAATATTGATACAGACATTGTTGCTATTGTTACGGATGGTCCGAATGTAATGGTTCGTGTGGGAAAAATTATTGAGGCTGAACACCAGTTGTGTTTAGTCAATGGAATTCACCTTGCAGTTTGTGATGTTCTTTATAAAAAAGTTCTACGCCAATATTCGACACCGAAGCACCATTGATGGAAACTCAAGATATTGTTGATGAAACAGATGATCACGAAGATGAAGAAAATATCGACGAGGAAATGGGATTAGGCTTTCTTCCCCCAACAAATGATGGGATAGCAAATATGGATTTACTCACCAATGAACAAAATATCAATGAACTAGTGGAAAAAGCCCGTAAGGTAGTTGTTCTTTTTAAACGATCCCCGACAAAAAATTATGCAGTCTTGCAAAAATATGTCAAAGAAGAGAAAGGCAGCGAGCTTTCGCTCATTTTGGATTGCAAAACAAGATGGAACTCTCTTCTATCGATGCTAGAGCGTTTCCTTGCTTTAAAAACATGTATACAGAAAGCTTTAATTGATTTAAACCACCCAGTTTCTTTAAACGAAAGTGATTTTGTGGTTCTTTCGGAAATAAAAGAAGTACTTGCACCTGTCAAATTAGCAGTAGATGCGTTATGCAGACGAGATGCTAATCTATGCACTGCAGATGCAGTACTTTTATTCTAGCAGATTGCTCAAAAACAATCTCCCTTTGCTAATAAAATGTTCCAAGCTATAAAAACAAGAATGGAAAAAAGACGATGTGAAGAAATTTCTGGTGTTTTAAAATACCTTCAAAATCCAAAATATGATGCTGTGAATGATGAAACAAATGTCTGCAAAATATTTGGAGTTCCTCCTAAAACCCTTTTTAGGAAGCAGATAAAAAAACTTATTGAGAGACTAGCTGCTTTTAAAAATGATAATTTCGAAAAATCAAGTATTGATGTTGATGAAAATATAATGTCTGTCGTTAGAAATGAAGAATCACAAGTTCGAGCCTCCCTGTCTTTAAGAGAAAAGTTACAAGAACAAATTGCACAAAGCATGAAAGCCATTAAACCAGAAACACAAACTTCAAATTTAATGTCAATTATAAAACAAGAAATGCATCTGTTTGAAAATAGTGGAAACCGGGGGCATAATTTGGAATTAGTATACCAATATTTGTTATCTATTCTACCGACGAGCACCGAAACTTAGCGGACATTTTCTGCAGCTGGGTATTTGGGAAGCAAAATAAGGAGTAGGCTAAATGACCAAACATTAAATGCTCAACTATTGCTCCGGGCATATTTTCAGACAAAAAAAGAAAGTTTGTAAATAAAATATGCATTTATTATGAATTATTTTTTTGTTTTACATTTATTATTTAGCTACCATTTATTTATAAATATAAAATAAAGATTTTCTTTAATTTTTGTCTCTCAATATTAACAAACAACTTATTATGTTATTTTTTACAAAGTAGCTTGTTGCTACAGCAGCTACATCGGTACCCAAATTTAAGAAAATTTATGTTTACAAATTTATTTTTAAATTTTGATTGTTTAGTTACTTTAGTCAAATACACTTTGAATGTTCAAATGTTATTTACATATCCAATTATTTGATGAAGGTTATTCTGTAAAGTCTGTAATCTTAAAACATAATATGGAAGGTACCGTATATATATTTCTGCATTATTTTAAGATCTTTATATATTTTTGTCTCTCAATATTAACAAACAACTTATTATGTTATTTTTTACAAAGTAGCTTGTTGCTACAGCAGCTACATCGGTACCCAAATTTAAGAAAATTTATGTTTACAAATTTATTTTTAAATTTTGATTGTTTAGTTACTTTAGTCAAATACACTTTGAATGTTCAAATGTTATTTACATATCCAATTATTTGATGAAGGTTATTCTGTAAAGTCTGTAATCTTAAAACATAATATGGAAGGTACCGTATATATATTTCTGCATTATTTTAAGATCTTTATATACACCTGCTGCCTGTTACACAATTAAAACAATTTAAGGCGCCGTAGAAAATTAATGTAAGTTATTAAAACATAATGAAATTAAATAAAGAATTGATAACATCAAAAAGTATATTCATATATGCAGTATTAAGTTCTGTTTTTTAGCAAACAACTCACATAATGTGAGTTGTTTGCTAAAAAACAGAACTTGCTTTATATAATGTGAGTCACATTATATAAAATCCCGGGATACCGGGATCCCGTGATTTTATTTACTTCAATCCCGAAATCCCAGGATCGTAATTCATGCCAGGGATTGCAATTCCTAATTGTCTATAATCCCAATTAATATCAAACTTACAAAAAAAAAAGCTAGTTTTCTATTGTTCAATGAAATTAAAAACAAAGAAAATTTAGTAAAATGTGCAAGTTCTTTATTAAAAGAAGCTGATAAAAAATTTCAAAAAAATTACTCTTTTATGTCAATAAAAAATGCAATACCCCTCATAGCCGATTCAAATTTAATTCAGAAACCATCAAGAACGGACACAAAAAAAAACAAAAACGAAATACACACGCAAGATTATTCAAATGCGGTGTTGAAAAATGCTTTGAAGATTGTAACATATTATGTACCTTACAACATCAGTTGTAAGGTACATAATTTTGAAAAAAGTTTAAATTTGATTTTATTTAAAATTGTTTAATAGATTCAAATTGACTTAATTTATGTGGCATTTGGGACTGAGATATCTTTGCGGAAGGGTAAAAAAATACGTATGAATCAAAGTTTTGAATCGTTTGCAGATTCAACAATTCGTAATAAAAATAAAAATCACAATAAAAAAAAAGATCTTACTGGAAACTACAAAAATAATCTCTTATGCGTCTGGCACAAAAATTAACTTTACTGAACTAGTACAAAAATACAGTGTCATTATTAGTAATGGAGTAATAACTAAAAATGGAGATGAAATAGTAAAACAGTTTCTATTAAAAGGTGTTGATTTAAGTTTTTTTAAATATAAAGGCCAAGGAAATACAAATATAAGAAGATGTAAAAAGAAAACACATGCATTAGGTATTAGTGTATCTGCTGAACCAACAATGAAAAAAGTAAAGTTGAATATGAAAGACAGTCTCTAAAGGAGAATATACTATTGGTGAATTAATTGTGCCACAAAAGTTCCAAACCCTTACAGTAATTGATAAAAAATCTTTTAAAACTACTGAGGTTGAGGTTGCAGGTAGAAAAATCCCTCTTAGTCAAATCAGAAAATTACTTGCAGAAAAGCGCAAATGTTTTATGCGATTACATTCAGAATCTGAAATAAATTCAATGGGTGCTGACAAGGTTAATAAAGAACTGAACCGTATAAATGAATATGGCAATAGCATTAAAACATTTCAGGAATTGCAAAAAAAAACTTTTATATTTTTACAGAAGACGGCTCATTCAAATTTGGC